CATTCTAATGTATACAGTTCATGAACATTGTAGGAATCATGGTTAATACTAAAGAAAGCAAAAGTAGACAGAGTAGGGAAAAGAGAGCAAGCCAACTGCCTAGGGAGCCACCATCTAACATGGCATTGTCAATCCCGAGGAAGGTAGACCCCTCTCATGCACAACATACTAGTCCACCTAAAGACTTACCTCTGTAAGACACCAAACCTTTAGCCTAGGCACTAGTACTACCATCTGCATTAGTGTCTCTAGATATAGCCACTATCATTACTTAGCCAACAGGGATAGCTATAGCTTCCAGTTTAGCTACCTAGAGAATGAAGTCCGAGGGAGAGAAGATTCTTGAAAGAGCCTAGAGGTTAGAGGCAATAAAGTTTGGGGGTACTGCTAAGCTATTTAAGGTGGAGGAGTGGATCAAGACAATAAAGAATGTGTTTGGCTTGATAAACTACACCAAAGGGCAAAAGGTGCAATATACTGTGTTCCTATTAAAGGAAAGAGCATGGCAATAATGGGAAGCCTACACTAAAGACAGCGAACAAGGACGAATCAAGGTAAAGTTTGACAAGCAATACTTCCCTATTGTATATCAAGATTGAAAGAGAAAAGAATTCTTAGCCCACAACAAGAGAACATGATAGTGACAAAGTGTAAGGTTAAATTTATTGAATTATCAAGATATGCCAGCCTTTTATTACATATAAAGTGAACATATGCAGACTGTTTGAGGACAAACTAAGGCTAGAGATTAAAGTTAAGACTAAGCTACAAAGACGTACTACTTCCTTGAACCTAGTTGAGAATGCTATAGAAATAGAAGTGATAGAGGCAACTTTCACCAACAAGAAACAAGAACAGATGAAGAGGAGTGCCCCAGGAAAAGCACCAAATAGCAAAAAGGGATAGTCATGGAAGAGGCCCGATGTGATGAAGCTTTCAGATTGGAAGATTGAGACGCTAATACTGACAGGTGCAGGATTTATGTCTATCTCGAGTCCTGCACAACAAGAGATATAGCAATTGATGATGTCAATAGATATCAAGATGACAAAAGTGAGGGAAGTAGAGGGTATTGCTAGTAGAAAGATCACTTTCACAGCAACCGAACTAGTAAGGTACGCCCCACAATGCCTCAACTATGGGAAACACCAGAGGAGAATATAGGAAGGGCACAAGAGTATGTTACAAATGTGGTTAGGCGGGTCATATCAAGAAGGAGTGCTCACATGCAGCACATAGCAGTAGAGTTTTTCTTAGTTCAAGTGGATTCCAAAGACCCTAGATGAAAGAGTATCATAGCACTTGTGCTCTTAAGAATATTGTATGGTTTTAAAATGGTGTAGTGCTTTTATTTGTAAAATTAAGATTTTTGAATGTATAATTATTAGTAAGCAATAATAATATTTTCGAAAATTATGTACTTTGAAAATTTAGCGATTTATTAAATACATGATAATATGAGCTAAGTGAAAGATGTCTAGATATTGCACAAGTTTTCAAATAAATAAATTTTGAGGACGAAATTCTTTTAAAAGGGATAGAATTGTAACAACTCAACTTAAAAACAAAATAATAATAATAATAATAAATGAAATAATAAGGTAATTGGTAATTATGGATAAATTAGGGTGAATTAAGGAAATTAGTGACTTAATTACAGAAATTAGAGTAATTGGGGCTTAATCTAAGAATTTTAAGGAATTAATTGAATAAAATAAAAGAATCAGAGTTTAATTAAGAATTATGAGAGATTTAGTCGATAAAATTGGAAGAATAGGGTTCAAATTAAAAACTGTAAAGGCCTAATTGAAAAGAATTAAAGAGGGAGATCTATTATGAAGACAGGTAAACATGGGGGACCAAAATAAGAGCATGTAGGGGTTCAATTGTAAGGAAATAAACTTCAAGGGACTAAATTGAGAAGAACAGGAAAGTTTTAGTTGAAAAATCGACTAAAGCTTTTGGAAAATTCAAGCTTGTTGCCTTCAATTAACTAACTTAATTGGCTTATAAATAGACATTTAGGCATGATGAAGCAAAGCCCTTGATCAAGTTCTTATTTTTAGTTTGGCAATTGTTTGCTTTGGAAGTTTCGTGCAGTCTAAACTTGATATTGTTGGAAAAATTCACTATTTTGGCCGAATAAATTCATCAATTGATCCTTCAATTCATCTTGTCAATTTGTGTTCCTCGATTTTCAACCATCAATTGAAGTTAAAAAGTCGAGGTAAGCTTTGATTTTTTGCTTGTTTTCATTTTTGGCATACTCAAGTGAGAGTTTAAAGGAATCAGGTTCTGTAACCGAGCTTTCAGGGGAGGAAGAGAAACCCAGATTCCATCCAAGTCTGTGCTAGTTCAATTGGGCCAGTTCGGCCCAGATAAATCAGGTTCGACCAATTCATACTAGTTCAGGGGGTCTATTTGGGCGGTCTAGTCCAGTTATAGGGTTTAAAGGCCGGTTCAATGAAGTCTAAGGCCTGTTCAAGCTTATTCAAGGAGTTTTAAGGTTGGTTTAGACCAGTTCAGAGGGTCTTAAGGCTACTTTAGACCAGTTCAATGGGAATTAGAGCTAGTTTAGGCCAACTCAAAGGGAGATTAAGGCCGGTTTAAGGGTATTTTAGTTTAGTTCAGTCTAGTTTAAGGGGTTTTATATGAAAACGGCTTATGTTAGACATGTGCATTTTACTTAAACTGTTACTTAAATTTAGATATGTGCATTTTATGAATTTATAAGAGTAGAATATAGGCAAAGCAATAGTTCAGACAGAACGAGTATGAGAAAATTTAGTCAGAAATAGGTAATTGGCATTCTTTCTAATTTTAGTTTTTTATGAAAATATATTTCTATGCAAACATGAATGATTTTCAAACTTGTGTACTTAGATATGGAAAATGGAAACATATTAGTATATATTATACTTTCTAGTATATGTTTTATGATGTTTTGATTCTTAATTTTGAGCATTGTGTAGTTACATGGGCAATGGAAGTTCTACATGATATTGGATTTAGTGAGGTTTCAAACACCACAACCTATATCATGGAGTGGTGAACCATGGTGCAAATTACATGGTACAGTAACACCTGATAAGTTTTGCCATTACAAAGATCAGAGTTTCATATATGTTTCCAGGCCAATTGTTTTCTCTATTGTGCACATTAAATTAAAGTTATCCTAGCATGCTTTTAATGCCGGGTTTTTATGTGATTTTATGGTTTTAGATGTTTAAACGAACTATGGATGTTTATATGTTTGTATTTTATGCAAAACTTATTTGTTTTCTCAAAATTTAGAATATATGCCATTCATTGGGACTTCAGTCTTATTCTATTTTTTCAATACAGGTGCAAGACAAGTTTAACTCATGTGTCGCTACAAATCATCATCTGCATCAGAGTATCTAGAGTATACTAGACAAAGGTTGAGCCAGTAATCGATTTATACTTAAAAAAGGGTTCTATGGAATCTAGTTTATATGTTATGAATATGTTAAACCAAATTGCCAGTATTTTGATTTAGATTGCTTAGCCATACAAGACAGTTATTACAGTATTCAACATTCATCTGTGGGTCCCTACCACAAGAAGGTGTTGGATATTGTCTCGCTAATACTCCTATATTGACAAATTTAAAAGTGAGCAACATATTCCAATCAGTTTTTGCAAAATTAGCCGTAACTCCTCCACATGATGGAAATGGACCTTGATTCCCACATGTGAAAATGAGCTTATTGGAGCAAAAAGGAAGAAAACGCCGTCGGTTTGAAACTTCATTTATTTATTTATTTTTTTTTTGGAGGGATTGAGTTAAAACAAATCTAAGGGATGGTGGACACCTTTATGGGTGCTTCCATTGTCTTAGAGTGACACCTATTCGACAGAACTGAGAATGGCAAGAGGGCAGGGATTTTGTCCTATACCAAAGATCATTTATACCATAGGTTACATATTTATGATTTATATACCATAGGTTACCATAGAATAAGTTTGGTATTAGCATTCTTTAAATATGTTTAGGGCATATTTATGATTTATATACCATAGGTTACCATAGAATAAGTTTGGTATTAGCATTCTTTAAATATGTTTAGGGCATATTTATGATTTATATACCATAGGTTACCATAGAAAAAGTTTGGTATTAGCATTCTTTAAATATGCTTAGGGGCTATTAAATTACAGAATTATTGAGTATAGGAATGGTCTCTCAACTTTATTGATTTGTTCAATTTGGTCCCTAGACTAATATTATGTACAAATTAAGAACATTTATGAATGGTATCAACAACTTTATGCGTAGTGTCATAAAACGGGATATGAAATAATCAAATTGCTATTTCGGAGTTTTTGCCTTAGATTGTGTTCGGATTTCCTACTTTGTAAAAGCAAAGGTGGAGAATTTTTCTGATTGTAGTTGAAGACATTTAAGAATATCACTCACTTGTTTATTTGGCTATCTGGTTCTTATACTGGAGTATCTATTGAAATTAATTGCCCACCCGCATTAACTAGGAAGGAACGAACTACCACCTACTTTCGTTAAGTAGGTAGTCGTGCAACTAACTATTTATGTTCTTCTTCACCCTATAAATAGAGGTTATGTATTTTGGAAGAGTATGCATTTAGAATGATGTAACAACTCTTAAGATTTTGAGAGAGAGAGAGATGTAAAGAAGAAGGGAGATCAAATTCTCTCCTCTCTTTCCATTGTATGTATACTCCTTCTGCGTATGGGATATAGCTTCCATACGATCGAATTTAGTTTGCTTAAAATGAATATAAATATAAATTAGTAGATATGTTGGTTAGTTATCCAATCTGCAATTATGTCAATGAGGTATTTAAATGAGAACTTAAAGGAAAAATGGAACCTATCATTGTAAAACTCACTAAATTTGCACGCTGGCAAGTCACCTTTCATTTTTCTTCTGTGACAATGAGAGTAAAAAGAACAAGGAAAAACATGTCGAAACAATCTCATCTAAAATCATTTTGCTCAGCTAGGCACTTAGCTTGTATAACTTCTCCACCATCTTCCTGTACTCTGAAACAAAATTTGATCCAGATTTTACAGAAAGAAGAAAGAAAACAGGTGTGGAAGAAAACAAAGTGGAGAAGATAATATATCTACCTTCTTGATTCCCCCAAAGTGACGCCGCTTGTGTGTTGAGCGGTGAGCTTGTGTTAGGTTCTGTGTCATATAGAGATAACATAGTCCCAACAGTCAAATGGGTATCCTAGATTTTGTGAAAATATTGGGAAAAAAATGAGTAAAAATAATTTACCTCCAAGCAGACTCTGGATGGAAAGCAATATGGTTCTCACATCATAGGCAGATGACCATTTATCCTAGAAGAGAAAATTACAATTGAACACGATTTAATTTATCTTAGCAGAAACAAAAACATGGTTAAATCAAATACACAAAAACATGAGAATGAATCGATGACCTGAAGGATGTCCAAGCATATGTTTCCATACAAATCTACATTGGGATGGAAGCAAGCAGTCTCGAATTTGACCTTGGGAGGCTTAAAGGGGTAATCATTTGGAAATGAGAGGGAAAGCTTGTACTCTGTTCCTTCGAATACTGTGTCTTTGCTTCCACTGATTGTCCCTTTCCAGCAGAATATGTTGTCTTCCTCCGGGAACGCCGATATCCCTGAATCTCCGCTCATCTTTACTCACGTCCACCATAAATATAACCCAAAAAATATAGAAAATATTAATTAAAATGAAAAACAGGTCGACTCTCGATCAAAATTTTGTACATCAAGATGTATCGTCATTCTTACCATTAGTGCCATTAATTCAGATTGCAACCTGTTGTACAAGAAGGAAAAATATTCATAAACACCAAAATTTACAGTATTGAATAAGAATTAACTTTAAAATCTTAAAAGAGGGCCAAATTCAGAGGGAAATCCTAATCAAGGATCAAATTCAATTACTCCACATAGAAGTTGAAATAGTAAAAGATTCATTGATATATAGTATATATGCGTAACATATATACCTCTTGAGAACAGATTGAGTGTCGACGCTCTTGGCGGTGGAGAGAGGCTGCTTTGAAGGTGCGATTGGCAGAACGGTAGCCGGGGTATTGGCGTCTTGGTGTTGGTGGTTGATGGTAGTCATCTCTCTTTCACCTCTTCTTCCTTGTTTTCTTTCCTTCCACCGATCAGCAAAAGAGGTTTCTGAGATGGTTTAATACGATATAGAGGAAGACACAAATTCACACACAGTTTTACGAATGTATGTGCGGCAGAGAAATGACTAAGGACTGAAGAGACGAATCTCTTCAATTGTAGAGAGAGAGAGAGAGAGAGAGAGAGACACTGGAGCTGATGCGATTGGTGTGAAGGCGTTCGATTTAAAACGAAGTTAAGTAATTCAAACTCATTTTTGAACGTTACATTCACGCCGAAGACTGGCTGCTGTTGTATTTTTCTATAACGGCTAGTTTCAACCAACCTCCGTTGTGGTCCTGGACTCCTACACAGCTATTCTTTTATGGTCAACGTGCTTTGATTTTATACTATTTTCATAAAATTTATATCGGATCAGCACTTTTTTCATTTTTAAAAGTTAAAATCAATATATACTTTTCTATTTCTATGTTATTATGTATGATTTTATCCTAATTTGGTTTAGTATAATTAATTGACGTATTATACTTTATTATATCATCAAAATAATTGATAGATTGAATCAGTAAATTTTAAAAATTTGTATTAGAGTAAAATTTATAATTATAAAACCTAATTTGATAAATTAACTACAAGTTAACTCATGAGCAACTCTCAAATAACATCATTCTTATTATTATTATTATTATTTTGTCACAAGAATTTCTAAAATTTTATTTTCTTGCAAATTAATTTAATTCTTTTAAGTCAAGAAAATAAATTTTTTTCTGCACTTTAACTCCATCAGCCTTGTTCTATTACTCACGTTACTCCTTAACTTTCTAATTTCATCATATTTATTCTAATAAGTTTAAATTGTTTGAATTTAGTCCCTAAAATATAAGAGAACAATTCAATAATTTAAAATTTTAAAGACTTCATATGATACAAGTAATTTAATAAATTATCATATATAATATATCCATTCAATTCAGCTTTTTGTCAATTTTTAATTTATAAAATTAAAATTATACTAAAATATTTAATTTTATATGATACGATACAATTTAGTGGAGCACACTTAAAAAAAAAATGAACATCTCTACTTTTGTTAGGAAAAATTATGCCATAGGACCAACCGACCAAGTAGGAGAAATAAACTTGTGGACCTTTACTTCAATTAGAAATTAAAAAAAAAAAAAAAAAAAAAGAAACAAAAGAAAAGAAAAGAAAAGAAAACCTCGTTCAGACGCAGTTCTTTTAAGATGAATATCGACACGCCAACAATAAAGACGTAAGCGAAGAAGTTACCAAAATTCATATTACTAATGACGCCACCCATCACCTCGCTTCTTTCTGCAAACGTTGAGATTCAACTTCAAAATCCTTGACTGAGAAAAAATCAGGGGTGCAATAATCAAGACAAGAAACTGAACATTAGAGATATTTCTTTCAATAGTATATAAGCAACTTCCACGGAAAAAATCTGAGAACAAAAAAGAAATGCTTTCTATGAAGTTTTCTGAAAGCATAGCTTAATAGTAGGCTCCAGATTCAAAAGCATCACAAGACGTTACCTTTCAGGAATCAGACCAAATACCTAAATATTTCTTCCAACTCAACCTTTGCCAAGCGAATATCCACAAATTAATTAAATGGAAAAGCGGGAAAATGACATTACAGCTCCATACAAGGTCCCGTGACTTATTGCATTCAACTTGGTTATTGTGTTACACTACATGTATATAGTACAGGCTGAACATCAAGAGAACATAGTAGTAGAAAAAACATTAGAATCAGCCAGCTTGTCCTGGCTAGTGGACATCATTGATGAAGCTTGATAACTCGGGATACCCTCTCAAAAAACACAGGGCACATATTCATACTAAACATTACCACCTCTCTCATCCACTCAGGCGCCACTCTTTCAAATGTACCCAAGGATATCACACGATACACCACGTCCACTTCCTCTCCTGCTTTCTTTATCCATGTCAAACTAAATGAGTAACCTGTATTCACCACAGCTTCAGTAAAATGCTGAAAACTTCAAAAAAATAAATAAATAAATAAATAATAAAAAATTGATGAATTTAAACTGATTAAATAAATTTAAACTAAAAAGAAAGTACAGTCAATTACCAATTAACATTTAATTCTGTTAACATTTTAATTCCTTACAACAAGAACAAAGGGACGATGATTACTAGGACACAGCCACTACAGCAATATAAGCCTATCTTGATGAATAGAACTGATACACATTTCCAAATTCCAATATATTTCCAACAATGCCCAAGAAATTGATCTGAATATAGAAAGCAACAAGTTCCTAGTCAATTTAACAGTCAAAGTACATCTGCTTGTACAAATATCTTGAGCCACCAAACAGAATTGACACAACTAATTACATCCAAAATTCTTAATCACCTAATTCAATTGTGCTCTTCAAAATTAATATAGATCAATGCTCCAAATGCAATTTCATCATAGTGTAAAGTAGCCCTGTTCATAGTTCAGGTTCGAACAGTGAACCGGCCCGGACCAAACTGGGAAAAAACCGGACCGGACCGGACCGTCAATATCCGGTCCGGTCCGGTTCTTAACCGTAAAGGTTCGTGGTCCGGTTAAGGTTCATATTTTTTTTGAACCTGAACCGAAACCGGACTGGAACTGTGAATGAACTGGATGAATCGGAATCGGAAATGAACCGTGAACCGTGAACCGAAACCGTGTACGAACCATGAACTGGAACCGTGAATGAACCATGAACCGGAACTGGGAATGAACTGTGAATCGTGAACCGTGTACGAACCGTGAACCAGAACCGTGAATGAACCGTGAACCGAAACCGGTAATCAACCGTGAACTGTGAACTGTGAACCGGAACCATAATGAACCGTGAAATATTTAGTATTTTAAAAGTTTAATTTTTATTATTTAAAATATTTTTATTTTTTCATTTAAATTTAAAATGAAATACATTGTACATAGGGGTATGCAAAACCAAACCAATTAACCAAACTAATTTTTTAAATTTGGTTTGATGTTTTTAAATTTAGTTTGGTTTGGTTTGGATTAAAAAAATAATTTAAAATTATGGTTTGGTTTGGTTTAAAAACCAAACCGGAACCGTGATGAACCGTGAAATATTTAGTATTTTAAAAGTTTAATTTTTATTATTTAAAATAATTTTATTTTTTCATTTAAATTTAAAATGAAATACATTGTACATAGGGGTATGCAAAACCAAACCAATTAACCAAACTAATTTTTTAAATTTCGTTTTGGTGTTTTTAAATTTGGTTTGGTTTGGTTTGGACTAAAAAAATAATTCAAAATTATGGTTTGGTTTGGTTTAAAAACCAAACTAAACCATTCTAAACTAAAAACCAAAATTTTAAAAATATTTTTGTTTCATAAAAAAATATGCACACGTTCATATATTAATATGAACATATATTTGTGTGTACACAAACACAAATACATACATATGTACTTATATAAACACACATATGTATAAATTTTATCCACTCATATAAATATAAATATATATACATATACATATATTTATATTATATATACATATATACACATATATACACACACACACATATATGCACGCGCACCCATGTAAATATATATATGTATGTATGCATGTACGTATGTATACATATATAAATAGATAAATATATGTATTTACATATTTATGCATACACACACAAACACATATATTTCTATATTTTTATGAAAATATATATATATATTAATATATATACATATACACGAATATATATGTTATGTATATATATATACAAATATATATACATGTAACATATATATATATACGCATATTAAAATTTTAAGTTTAGTTTAGTTTGATTTATAATTAAATTAGATTAATTAGTTTCCAAAATATTAAAACAAAAAAATCAAACCCAATTATCAAAAACCAAACTAATATTATAGTTTATACATACCTATATGTATGTGTACGTATGCACGAATACATATATATTTTTATGTTTATATGAGTATACACACACACACACACACACACATGAATATATATATATATATGTATGTATGTATATACAAGTATACACACACACATACATACACTTGCATATATATACATATTTGATAATAAAAAATTAAATAAATATTTTATTTTAAAGTATTAAAACAAAAAAAATCAAAAAACAAACCAAAATTATGGTTTGCACACCCCTAATTATATATAATAAAAGATTAGAGGAGTTATTAGTTCCATCTATTAGTCAATAAATTAAAGTACCTAATTTATATATATACAAAAGGAAATTTATTTTTCAATTTAAATAAATTAGAAAATAGATTATTTAAAAATTTTCAAATGATTTATAAGTTAATAAATAATGTTTTTTGGTAAAATCAAATTGGAATCGAATTGAACTACGAATGGACTGGAATTGAATCGAACCTTGAACGAACTGGAAACTAAACCATGAACCGAACCGTGAACGAACCGAGAACTGAACCGTTAACAAACCAGAAACCGAACCGTGAATGAACCAGGAAACGAACCGGCCCGGAACCGGCATGAACCATAACCGGAACCGGACCGGCTTTCAAGGTTCCAGTCCCGGCTCACATTTTTTTGGGACCGGAACCGGCGGTCCGGTTCCGGTCCGAGCCAGTTCAAAGCCCATGAACAGGCCTAGTGTAAAGACAACATGTGAAGAAGTCCACATTTTGATCATTGTCATACAATAGAAATGGTTTATAATGGAGCCATGGAGTTGCTGTTCAAGCATGGTATTATATCATATGGGTCAAAGACAGACGTAGAGATTCAGAAAGTTAAACAGTCACGTATCCATTGTTAACTCATTTTGATGACACAGAAAAAACCCAAAAAGAAAATGGAAAATTCCAATTCTCACACACAACTTTGTGTGTATAATTATTAATAAAACATATGGATGAGCATGAATTTATGTCCATGACAGAGGAAGCATTTTATTGTTG